GTTACAATTTTATTCTTTTTTTTTTTTTTTTTTTAAACTCTATAAATAAAGCATGTGTTTGAAGAGCTTTTAGTAGCTGTACATAAAGAACTTTGAACTTTTCATCCCACAAGTTTTTCTTTAACTGTTTTCTTTTAAATTGAGGTATAATATATACATTATATATTATTACTCATAAGATTACAGGTGATTTTTTTTCTATGTATACAGTCAGGTAACTGCCATTCAGAGTAAGATATAGAACATTTTCAAGACCCAAGCAAGCCGCCTTCTATACCCACATAGTCAATACCACTGTTCTTCCTTTAAGAGGCCTCTCTCCTGTTTTTGAACTTCACAAAATGGTGTTATGACTTTTATATCTGCCTTTATTTCTGATGTTATTTCTGTGAGATTTATTCATATTGGTGTATAGCAGTTGTTTATTTTCTGTTTTTGGTAGTTTTCCATTGTATCAATATAATAGTCAATTTTTCTTTGTTTTTTTGAGACGAAGTCTGGCTCTGTCACCCAGGCTGGAGAACACTGACCTGTTCTCAGCTGACTGTAACCTCCCCTCACAGGTTCAAGCTCTTCTCTTGCCTCAGCCTCCCGAGTAGCTGGGATTACAGGAAGCTGCCACTATGCCCGGCTAATTTTTGTATTTTCACTATGTTGGCCAGCCTGGTCTGGAACTCCTGATCTCTGGTGATCCACCTGCCTTGGCCTCCCAAAGTGCTGGGATTACAGATGTGAGCCATTGCAACCAGCCGACAGTTAATTTTTCTATGCCTCTGTTTATAGACATATTAGAGTTCTTTCCAGTTTGAGTCTTTGATGCTACTGTGAACATTATTGTACATATTTCTAGGTGAATATAAGCATTTATTTTCCTGGGAAATTGGTAGGTAACAGTGTATAAATATGTAATTACTTTCTGTAGATACTGCTACATTTTTTAAAGGTATTGAATCAATCAAAACTACCACCACTGGGAGTTTGACTGGCTTCACATTCTAACTAACACTATTGGCAGTCTTTTTCCATAACTTTACTTTGGAAAATTTAAACGTATGGGAAAGTTTCAAGGAGTTTTGTTTTAGTTTTAGTTTTACATTCAGGGATAGATAACATATTGTAAAATATAGCGATCTTTGGTATTTACTGTGAATTTTGAAAATTAAACATAAGCGTTACCCCAAATAAGAGGTAGAATATATTCATTATTCCTTTTTTTTTTTTTTTTTTTTT